ATGATTTCGGACTCATAAATTAATACTAATAGTGTACATTGTCATTCTGTTCATGCAGCTGTAAAAATTAAACTACTAGTAGCACATTAAAGTACATTCTCACTTACAAGTATAAATGCAAATGTCATCTAAATCTAACATGTTAACTGTTGTACTTTGTCTTTTTACTTATTCTATTGTTAATTTGCCGCGAAATCTTTTAAAATTTCCATGCGAGGGCACGGCCCCTCCCCGAGCGATTTCTTAACTATCAATCACAGCCGGCTACTTTTTTGGTACAGCCGCCTACTTTTTTGGTACAGCCGCCTACTTCAAATCATTCTGAAACCCCTGTCTATCGAAATCCTGATATTTAATTATCATAATTATTGGCTGTGTTTTTCCAATTATTGTCTCCTAGGCCTGGTCACCAAACTTCTAGACTTGCTCGGCGAACTGACGCTTCAAAATGAGTTGAAGAAACTGCAAGATGGTCAAGCAATCGGGAATGAAAAACATCAAAGACAACTTATCGATCTTATAATGGAACAACGCCTACTCCTTGCCGAAGCTATATTCTGCATCGCTTGTCAAACGCCTTTGTCGCAAGCAGAGACTTTGAAGGTTTTTGGTTATTTGAAGGACGTCAGTCCAAATGACGCGACGGGGGAAATCGATCAAGCTGATTTATTTGTATTTTTCGCCTTGTTGTATTCACTCAATGTCAGCAGCTTGGAAACACAGTCAGAACTGCCCGCAAATAATGGTAAGCTTTTAGCAAAAAAAAAACCCGTTGAAAATCTAAGGTCTTTTAGCGTGTACCTCTCAAAATTACTTTTTAAACACTTTGGAACAATTTGGACAATAGCTTAAAGTAATGTAGTTCACTGGACATTTTTAAGAGACATTTAAGAAACAGTCTATTAGATAAATTTCTAGGTACGCGGACATTTTGCCGAAAGACATTTTGCTGCCGACGGACGTTTTGCCGAACGGACGTTTTGCTGAACGGGCATTTTGCCGAACGGACATTTTGCCGAACGATTAATACAATATGTATGTATGTGTTGAGCATCAGCACTCTCCCCTTGACGAGTAAAATTGTCTGGCGTTAGACAGACTAAAATAATAAAATGGGGGTACAATTTTCATCGCTGCATTCATATCTGGAAGTATGTTAATGGTCTTACGGAGCATTCTCTAGACATTCTTAAATGTAGTCAGATTCACAGTCATAACACTCGAAATAAGGACACAATAAGGCTACCTAAAG